GCTTCTCCCTCTCCCACTCCCCCTGCTTGTGTTTCCTCTCTCACTGTCTCTCTCTCTGTCAAATAAATAAATAAAATCTTTAAAAAAAAAAAAAAGAGTAGGGGTCATCTTTCCTCAGGATTCAGGGAAACGAAAGGATTTTGACACCACAAAATAAACACATACCTAAGGTGAATTATTCATAAAAATGGTAAGTATATGAGAATGAAAACAGTCTCTTGCCACACCTTACTGTCCACATACACGGGACTTTGCTCGTGTGCTATCTTCATTTGCACTGCTTTTCCAGGACTCTACTGTCCAGACAAAATTTCTTCATTGCAGGAACTTCCCCATAGTCCCATCAACTCTTCAATGGAAAGCATCAACAGTTTGTGCTCTAAAATCCTTCCCTTTCCTCGAAATTCTCCCCTTGCTGTTTCCACCAATCCTAGACTGTTGGCCTCATGATCCTTATCCAATCCTAATCAAGTGTCCATGTTGAAAGACCCTCTGCCTTAAATCAAAACCTTCATTTCTCAGTAAATCCCGACCTCTCCTTTCCTCCCTGAAACACTACCGAAACCTTGTGAGGTGGGGGTCTCCCATACTGAGGTAAAGAATAAATTCAGCCTTGTCAAATCAACAGGTATGTCGGTGATATTTGGGGAGTTCAGCATTTGACAGCTTTGAAGGCCCCACAGAGATCCGGTGGCGGCTGAGACCTCATCGCTATAGTTCAAGACCTTCAACTTGAAATGAGTGTCCTCTTCTGAGGCCTCTTAAGCTTCCTGCTTGGGGCTCTCTGACTGCAAATGGGGGTTTTGTAGGTTTCACATTGGCTGAAGCTCTGATCCCTTTCTTTGAGCTCCCAGTTGCTAAGGATACTGGTCCTGTGGTCCACACATTACCCCCAATGAGAAGCCATTCCTAACCCCCTGGACTGTAGGGCCCTCTGTGTGCCAACTGTCCCGGGCTCCTCCTCGCCGTGGCTCTCACTATAAGGGTACATAAGCGTAAGCCTAGTGGGACCAAAGTTCCCTGCATTGTAATCGTGAGGTCAACCTGTGATGTGGCTGGGACCTGGGTGATTTTATGGTGATCTCTTTCTCTCCACAGGCCCCATGCCCCCCATCCTTGAGTTCTCTTCTTCCTTTTGAGTTCTCTTCTTCCATTCAAATCTTCTCATTGAGTGCCCAAAAGAGTTTTAACATTTTCTTCTCAGTCTTTCAGATTTTATATTCATGTTCCTCATTATTTTAAGACATTCCCACAACTCTCTTGCTTTTCCTGTGAAAACAATCATACTTACTACAATTAATGCTCAGGCAACTGTGTTTATTTCTTGTAGGCTTTTTTGTATGTTTCTATATTTGCTTAGACTTTACCCCCCTTACTCCTCTTTTTGCAAACGATCTTTAATTTCTGCTCTTGAAATGATTACATTTATCATTAGAAAAAGAGCAAAAACTGATAGCTATGTATATGTAAAATTCTAGAGAGTATAACCTCAATAAATTTTATATGTATCTACACTCACATACAGAGTTAGAAAAACATTTTAAGAGAAATATGCCAAAAGGTTCAGTGCTTACCTATGGCTTTTTTTGCTCTTTCTGTGCACTTTTGTAGCTATTTAAATATGAACCATACAAAATCTTTTACATAGTTTTGTGTCATTCTGAACATCCTACTCTTATAACAACTCTAAAATTATTTAATAAATAAAATAGTTGTACAAAACATTCTGGCAGGCAGCAAAGGAAAAAGTTTGTATGTTGTCTCTTAAGTGTCAACTATCAATGATACCATAGAGATTCTATTTTCAATTATGTTCTCTTGAGTTAAAATAGATCTTGGTTCATCCAGGATATTTAAAATCAACCTTCATCAGGGCGCCTAGCGGGCTCAGTCAGAAGAGCATGTGACTCTTGATCTGGGGGGGGGCATGAGTTTGAACCCCACGTAGGGTGTAGAGATTACCAAAAAAAAGGTAAGTCAACTTAAAAAAATTTTTTTTAATCAACCTTCATCATATGTCTCTAGTAAAATTTATTTTACTTACAAATTTTCAAAGAGCTTTAACCTGTGTTTACCAGACAGGAAACTGGGCAAATATTTGTATCTGCCTATTACCCCTGCCCCAGTAACTAATCTTCCACTGCGATACAGTTTTTCTCAGTAATGTCAATACTTTGCCTTGAAATATATGATAGGAAGTTCACAGGCTTTGGTGCCAGGCTTACCATCTGTTTACTGCTATATCACCTTATCCTGTTGCTATCTCTTCCTGAGACTCATTTATATCCTTTAAAATGAGGTTAATAATTCTTACTCTATTATTGACATGTTCAACACCTCCCAATTGAAAACAATAGTCATCGTTATTGTTATTACTCTTGATTATTCTTTAGTATAAGGAAAAGAGCAAACAGTACCCAAAACAGTCATATTTTACAGGGCAGTTGCTTTTTTTTTTTTTTTAAGATTTTATTTATTTATTTGACAGAGAGAGAGAGAGAGAACGAGAGAGGGAACACAAGCAGGGAGAGTGGGAGAGGGAGAAGCAGGCCCCTCTCGGAGCAGGGAGCCCGATGCGGGGCTCAATCCCAGGACCCTGGGATCATGACCTGAGCCGAAGGCAGACGCTTAACTGACTGAGACACCCAGGCGCCCCTACAGGGTGGTTGCTTTTAATATTTACAAATGCACATGGAGTGACTGGGAATTTGAAACACCTAAACCTAAGGTCTGATGATGTCACAGCAATGAAGCTACGAAGAAACCCATCTCTCACCTTCTGCCATGCGAGGGGCGAATGGTCCAACTAATAAGCCACAGCCTGCGAGAGTGAGAAGCAAGCAATTGATCTAGAACATCTCCCATGTTTCTTACCTTATCAATGAGAGGCGGATGGCGGTTCCATGTGCGCTGTTCTCTCCCTGACCATCTCCTCCCCGGCAGCTCTGGTTCCAAGAGAGCAGCCTGGCACTTCATTCATTCCAGCTACAAACCCGTAAGGAGAGCCAGCTTGTGTTTCAGGCAGCGTACTAGGAGCTGGGGATGCGCCTGTGAAGTAACCAGACTAAAACATCTGCCCTTTTGAGTTTATATTCCAGCGGGGAGAGACAGGAATAAATAATTGATATAATACATCAGTAAATTAGGTAGCCTAGAAGAGAGGCATGTGATGGAAGGGGCGTGGGCTTGCCGGGGGCCAGGTGTGCTGTTGTTAATGGGCTGCTCAGGGTCAGCCTCACTGAGAAGGTGCCATTTGAGCAAAAGCTGGAACGTGATGAGGGATCAAGGCACAGGGACATCTGGGGGGGACAGTAACAAAGTACCAAAATATCCAAATGGTGCGCTGTTAGGTATGGGGGTTATAAACTTAGAGGGGAGGACAGATATAAGCAATTATGACAAACTGGTAAGTACTGACTCTCAACTCTAGAAAACAAACTGAGAATTGCCGGAGGGGAGGT